ATCAGTGAAAGATCGACCCCAGGAGTCGATCCAAAAGGGATCAACTCAGCAAGGTCGATCAAGTGGGGATCGGCCCAGCAAATCGATCAAGTGGGGATCGACCCAGCAAGTCCGATGATGTGAGATCGAGTCAGCAAGTTAATTCGCAAGTGGCGGATGATAGAACCTATGATCAGTCGATTGGGTTCGAGGCAAGTTGGACACAAGTGAGGGATCGACCGCAAGTCGATCAGTGAAGATCGCCCAGGAACTCATCAAGTGGGATCGACTTAGCAGGCGATCAACGTGAGGGAGTGCGGTCCCGTAGGCAAAATCGATCAGGTTGGGAGGATCGACCAGCAAGTCGATCAGTGGGAGAGCGAACTCAGCAAGTCGATCAAAGTGAGAAATGACCCACGCAAGTTCGATCGAGTGAGGGATGGTCGACCAGCAAGGCGCTCAAGTCAGAATCACGAGAAGTCGATCAGTGGAAGAATACGTCAGCAGTCAATCAAGTGGAGATCGCGCCGCAAGTCGATGAAGTGAGGATCGATCCAGCAAGTTATCAATGCGCATCCGCCTGAATCGAACACCAAGCCAAGATCGACACAGGTGAAGGATCGACCCCCAGCAAGTCGATCAAGTGAAAGCATCGACCCAGGAAGATCGATCAAAAGGGGGATCAAAACTCCAGCAAGTCGATCAAGTGGGCGGATCGCGCCAGCAATCGATTCAAGGTGGGGGGATCGACACAAGCTCGATCAAGTGCAGATGCGACCGAGCAGTCGATCAAGTGCGGAGAACCAGCAGCATCGATCAAGTGGAAGAATAGTCCAGGCAAGTCATCAAGTGAGATAGACCAGCAAGTGTGAAGTGAGATCGATCACCAAGTCTATCAGATGCGTTGAGTCGAACAGCAAGTCGAACAAGTGAGGGATCGACCCAGCAGTCGATAAGTGAAAGATCGACCCAGGAAGTCGATCAGAAAAGGGGATCACTCAGCAAGTCGATCAAGTGGGAGATCGCCAAGCAAAATCGATACAGTGGGGGGATGACCAGGAAGTCGGATGAAAGTGAGGATCGATCAGCAAGTCTATCAAGTGGTGATAGAACCAGCCAGTCGATCGAAGGGATCACTTAGAAGTCGATCAAAGTGAAGATCACCAGGAAGTCGATCAAAAGAGGGATCTAACTCAGCAATCCGATAAGTGGGGGATCGCCCAGCAAATCGATCAAAGTGGGGGATCGCACCAGCAGTCGATAAAGTGGGAGATCGACCAGCAAGTCGATAAGGAAGTCGATCCAGCAAGTCTATCAAGTGACATGATCGAACCAGCAAGTCGAACAAGTGAGGATCGACCAGCAAGTCGGGATCAAGTGAAGAAGATTGCGTTACCCAGGAAAACCGATCAATGGGATCGACTCAGCAGGTTCGATCCAAGTGGGGAGCTCCAGCAATATCGATCAGTGGGGATCGACCCGCAAGTCGATCAAGTGGGAGATCGAACCAGCAAGTCGATCATGGAAGTCGCGACCCAGCAACGTCATCGAGTAGGGATCGGACCAGCAGTCGATCAATGGGGCAGATCGACCGAGGCAAGTCGATCAATGGGAAGAATAGTCCAGCAAGTCAATCAGAGGTGGGAGATTCGATCGCCAGCAAGTCGAACAAGTGAGGCGAGTCAGACCCGCAAGTCGATCAAGTTGAAGAGATCGACCGCAGGGAAGGCGATCAAAAGGGGGATCACTCAAGCAAGTCGATCAAGTGGTTGATCGGCCAGCAAATCGGATCAAGTGGTATCGAAACCAGCAAGTGGAACAAGTGAGGGAATCGCACCCAGCAAGTCGATCAAGGAAGGATCGACCAGAAAGTCGAATCAATAGGGATCGACTCACAGGTGATCAAGTGGCGGATCGGCCCAGACAAATTAGATCAAGTGGGGATGCGACCCAGCAAAAGTCGATCAAGTGAGGGATCGACCCAGCAAGTCGATCAGTGAAAGATCGACCCAGGAACCGATCAGAGTGGGGGATCGATCAGCAGGTGATGCAAGTGGGGGAGCGTCCCGCAAATCGATCAGGTGGGGATGGAAACCCGACCCCAGGCATCCGATCGAGTGGAGATCGAAACAGCACATCATCAAGTGGGAAAACCGACGCAGGCAAAGTCGACTCGAGTGAGGGATCGACGCAGCAAGTACGATCAGGGCAGATCGACCGAGCAAGTCGTCAGTGGGAAGAATAGTCCAGGCAAGTCAATAAGTGGGAGATCGACCCAGCAATCCCGAACAAGTGAGGATCGACCCGCAAGTCGGATCAAGTGAAAGATCGACGCCAGGGAAGCGTGGCATCAAAAGGGATCAACTCAGCAAAGTCCATTCAAGTGGGGATCGGCCCAGCAAATCGATCACAGTGGGTCATCGAACCAGCAGTGAACAAGTGAGGGATCACCCAGAAGTCGATCAAGAAGGATCGACCCAGGAAGTCGATCAAGTGGGGATGCGACTCAGCAGGCGATCAAAGTGGCGGATCGCCAGCAAATAGAGTCAATTGGGGGATCGACCCAGCAAGTCGAATCAAGTGAGGGATCGACCGGCTAGTCGACCGAGTGGGAGCATCAGAACAAGCAAGGTCGGATCAACCCAAGCAAGTCGATCACTTACGGATCGTCCAACAAGTCGATCTGACTACCCTGAGTATTATAAACTAATTTGACTATTTAGTCAGTCGTTCGTCAGTCAGTCCTCTGCAACCAATCTGACCGTCCGTTAGTCTGTCAGTCACTCCGTCTGTCAGTCACTCCTGTGTGTGTGCACGAAATTCTTATTCATCTTTAGATAGAATTATAAACTTTTATTTCGTTTCTCGTTCACATTTACCCTATG